CAGCCGACATTTCTTGCATGTCTGGTACGATTACGATTTTGTCCGCTGAGGGGCTCGAGCCTGCGCTACCCAGCGTTTGGCCCAGAAGCATTGACCAGTCCAAGAGCATTGTCAAATCTGTCAAGGATTCGACCCACGCCACCGGGTCTAAACAGTGTTTCTTTATGATTAAGCCGTTTGTAACAAATCCACTATAATCACTGGGCTAATCTGCCTTCGGGTTTAAGCCGAATAAATGTAAATCTTACGCGTATTAGAGCGGGCATATAGCTGCATCATTTTGCTCTACCACTTTCTTTGATGTGCACTCTCGTAAGGATCCTACGCCTTCATGTGCAGTTCAGCAATGAACTTGCCCTGCTGTCTTTCGGCAAGGATTCAATGAATCGTCTCGCTCATCGGCTTGTATTGCAGATCGATCACTTTACGCTGACTCGTTCGCAAAAGAAGTGAAAATTGATATTGATGTGATTCGTCCGCGAATGCAAACGGGATTCTTGGTCAAAGCGATGCCGCCTGATTGTCGTGGTAGATGATGATTGCATCCATATCTTCGCCGTCGTATACATCACCAAAACGACGCCGTCAGAGAATTACTTTTCAAATAGCACTGTAAATTTTCATGTACTCAGCCTCTGATGTCGACGTCACAACCATTGCTGGCGCGTGGAGCTTCATGAGACTTGCAATGCACAACAAAGCGCCTACAATATCACGATACAAAATTCTGGGTGCAAACACTTCGTCGACCACTGGTTTCGTGAGCTTTGAATTGCTGTCGCTAGCGTGTGTCCGCCCTTGCAGTTTTGCGTACGGGACTGATCTGCAAGTCATTTGTTTACGCACGTTAGCCCATTAAAATTATCTCGTTGGTACTAGAGTCGTTATATACCCATCCGAAATACGCAAGTGTGCTTCCTGTGATAGATCTTGTGCAGCAGGGCTGCCGTAGCTCTTTCGATTAGAAGAAGCTAAGCTAACATCATTCTATACTTAAAGCCAGTACGAGTGTAGCGAATCGCGATTCGTTTTCTCCAAGAGAAACACAACCTTAACCCAAGGCAAATGTGCTGTTCTGCTCTGTATTTAAGCCGGGCTTGCTGGTCGTGAAAGCGACCGAGAAGGGCTTTGAGTAGCCATGGAAGATCATTATCAATTCTGGGGCGTCGGGCAATTATGCTCGACGCTCCACGATGGAAGCAGGACAGCTGTATGCTGAGGCGCTGAAAGGGCGGTTGAGTGACACCATCACTGTTTGCTTAGCGTCGGGGAACGCCGAGGGTCTCTGTGGACCTCGGCGTCAACTTTCTTGACTTCAATAGCGTGGAAAGCTACTTAGCTTTGGATTTTCATACAAGGTATCACCTTATTCTTGGTATGGCATGGTTGAAGCATCATGAGCCATGGATTGATTGGAGGTCGAAGACCTTGGGCACAACGTGCACGTCTCCTGGTGGAGCTTGGGTGAGTCATGAATCCACCTCTGCTAGGCGGCACAAACGCTATTGGCGCGGACACTGAACCGAGACGGACTACGTGCTAGAGATCGGAGTATCCGAGTTGGTGAACACCAAATGTGTATTAGACAAAGATTCCGAACATTGCTCTTGGGCTAAACGAGGAGTGGCACGTAACCTACTAAGTGCTACCCAAGTATCGGAGCAGTTGCTGCATGCCATGCGTGGCAAGGTCGACCAAAGACCGATGCATCGAGGGCGAGACCCCAGTGATACACGTGGAGTGGCATGTAAGCCACTAAGCGATGCTCACTTAACAATGCAGTTGCTGCATGCCAAGAAAGGCGTAGTTGACCAAGGGCCGAGTCATTGAAGGCGAGGCCCTAGCGCGTGGAGTGACCCCTAGTACACTAAGCACTGCTAACGTTTTGAAGCTGTTGCTTCATGCCACGAGTGACATAATCGAACGAGATCCGAAGCATCTTGGGCAAGGCCCTTCTGATGCACGTGGAGTTGCACTTTATACACCAGGACAGGACTACGGAGCTAGCAGCTCCTCGTCGGATGTTGTTAATAACATCATGTCTTCGGTGGGGCAGGAAATACGACGCTGAGTGCGTGTTTCAACTGGTCTCAATATGGCGTACAGCCTCTGTAGAACGGCGACGACGCCGCCGTATGTTATCTGCAAGACGCCGTGCGTCTACCATGACCCAGGGCGTGTCTACCGTAGACGATAGCGCACAGCTATATACCCTTGTCAATGGTACGACAGGAGAACAGATGGCGACGTCGCCGTCGAGGCTATTCCCGCGGCTGATGCTGTTCTTGAGCTGGACGAGATGTCCTTCAAAAAGTTTGGCGGTACCTTGAAGGCAGACAATTGAGTCAATGTGGGCATTATACGACCGAACGAGGAGATTAACTCGTCGACGCTTCTGGATAAAGCTGTCCTGGAAGACACCAAGAGGGTGCTGTTCGCACGAAATGGATCGTCGATCCTGAAGAATCTCTTTGATCCGTACTTTCCTTTAGTGAAAGAAGTCAAATGTCATCTCCAAAGACCCGCCGTCGGTCGTACCTACGGACCGAGGTGTGCGTCATGATTTTTGACCTGGGTTCGGGTACCAAATACTGCGTAACACGCCGATGACCCTTGCCCAAGGAGCATTGTGACGACAGTGACGCCTTCTTTCGGGCGAAGCACGAGACAGGAATGGTGCGTGAGAGCAAGCCTCTCCATTCGACACCCACGTTTTGTATGCTCTGGAAGTAGCTAGTGATGTCCCAAGGGCTGTCAAATCCACCAGCAGCATTTAATCGTTTTGTGACGCAGTTGTTCAGGCCCCACCGGGCGTATGCACAAACATACTTCGATATCATCTTCGTCCACAGTCGTGCGAGGCGTGGGAGGATAGATGAAGAAAACCACATCGTCCATTTGAGAGCAGTGCTCGAGTGTATGCGCACGAATATGCTGTATGCTGATGCAGTTAGATCCAATTTTGGCGCGAAAGAAATCTTCGTGTTAAGGTGCTTCATTGGGGAACGTGGCCTTCGAGCAGATCCCGCTAAGGCCAAGGTCATTGTGGTCTGGCCAATACTAAAGAACCAAAAAGACTTGCACAAGTACAGCGATATACTACTCAGAAATGGCATAGCCATTGTCAAGTCTTCATAAGAAGGATACGGAATGGAGTTTAGACACCGAGCATCGGAAGGCTTTTGACGGGTTCAAAGACAGCCTTCTTTATGCATCAATACTGGCGTTGCCAGACCCCGATCGTCCTTTCAATGTCGTTTGTGACGCTTCGGACTTTGCCATCGGCTGTGCACTGTTGCAAGCAGACGCCGAGGAGCGAGATCGGGTGATCGCTTTAAATCTTGCCGGCTCAAGACTGCGGAGAGAAACTTCGCAGTCCATGACGAGGATTTTCTAGGCACTTGTCAATTTCAGGGTGCGCCTGCTCGGCTCCAAGCCGTTTGTGATCTACACAGATCATGCGTCACTACGCACTGCGACTCAGTCGCCTCACCTCTTGCAGAGGATGACCAGTTGACTCTCAATCTTCGCATACCACAATTTCGTGGTGAAGTATAAGCCATGGAAGCAGAATGCTTTAGCTACTGTGTTGTCACGCAGACCGGAATTCGAGGTCGCTCATGTCACGACGGTGATGGCGTCAATGACGAATTTGAAGCTGAGCGTGCCGTGTACGCGGGTGATGATATGTGCGTTGCGCTGCAACGAGCACTCGGGAGCAAGATGTTTGAAAGCTCGAACAAGAAATCGTCGTCGCGACTACGCGCACGATTGCACCAAATATCATTTTATAACGGATTGCAGGGTCATAACATCGATTCGACGGATATGCCACTAATCATGGTTTATCACAATGAGAATTTGAAATCCTGTATCGTCTATGAGACTCACGACACTCCACTCAGTGGTCAACTCTGTCGTGAGGAGATGTACAGCTCGGTGAGTTACCACTACTGGTGGCCCAAGCTGTACAAATAAACGAGCATATATATGCGCACGTGTGAGACGTGTCAAATGGTAAAACCCTCCCCGAATGTGGCGGTGCCGCTGTCCAGTTTGTCGATACTCTCTGGGTGTCGGCATTCCATGAGTATAAACTTTGTGTTTGGCCTGCCGAAGGACTCGGCGGACAACACGGGTGTTGAGGTCTTCGTCGACCGTTTGCGCAAGATGGCTCATCTTGCGGCGGTATCGGACACCATTGACGGTGTCGGTACAGCGACGCTGTTTACGGATCGTGTCTTTCAACAACATTGACTCCCGGAGTCAATTGCCTCTGACAGAGGCCAAAGCTTCACTAGGAAGTTTTGGTCGATAATATTCAGGGCTTGGGCACCAAGTTGACTATGTCAACAGCGGAATAATACCCGGGGGTCCGACCACGTAAATGTTGTGTGATCGCGTCCTCCGCTTCTGTAGTGCGATCCGCCCAGCGGAAATTAAATTACACACGAGGGTCAAGGACCGACCGTGGAAGCGCATGCATAGCCGCCCTGCAGGCAGCATCCAAATGCCGTCTCTGTGCCTCGTCGAGGTCATTGATGATGATGCCACTTCCCCCGGAAGTCGAGAGGTCAGGCAACGGACACGGCGTCTGCAAGGTGTAGAGCAGGGCTCACGTCGCGTCGCTGGAGCACCTCGCCCTCCTCTTCTTCCCATCCTGAGAATGCAGTATCCAACTCGTAGTCGACTTCTTCCACATCAGTCCGTCGCTCTTGGCGGTCGCGGTGCTCGATTGCCAAAGGCTTCAGATGCGCTTTCCATGAAGCCGCGGACGTGTTGTCCAAGGTTGCACCTCGTGCAGGAGACGACAACCGCAGGTGCACTCGGAACCAACGAGGCAGGGTGTCCAAGACACATGCTTTCGAGCAAAGAATGCGTGCAGAAGGTCCTGCAGATGTAGAGGTGTCGCGCGAGCCTCGTTTTGAGGCGACAATTAAATGTGAATTGTGAGTGTATACAATTTTGTTGGGGGAAAGTGTAGCGGGGGCTACACGTAGCCTGGTATGAAGGGGTGGGTCAAACAATATGGTGTGCCATACAGGGTTGTGGGTAATATAATCACACAATGGTGTGGCTACACCTCAACAAGAAGTCAGTACGTGGCTGGACCGTCAGTAGTTATGCATTTCATTCAGATTTTTCTGTATCGATCGGAGAACCTAAGGTTTTAGATATAGGAGGCTCTGCCGCAAATAAAACAGATAATTACAGTTTCAATTTTGAGCGGAAAAGTATTTTTGCCTTGGGCTAAGGGTTTTTGTACTCTTGGAGGTAGCGGGTTGTGATTCGCTAAATTAGAACTGGTTTTAGTGTAAAATGAAGGTCTGTGATCTTAAGTAATCTTCCTGCAAGCAAAGAGCTCCTGCAGCCCCGCTGAAGATGAAGTACGAGTCGGGATACTTTTACATTATGTAAGATTTTGATCTTAATCAGCGCAAATATGGCGTGGCAGTATGAATGCTGGAACTGGTTAAGCTCTGTAATGTAATGTACTTATCCCTTACAAATTTGAAACAATTTCAAACTCGGTACGATTGTTACGAAATTGTGTTGTGATTGTAAATATCTACTATTGAGATTCAGAATTTCTGAAGATGATAAAACTTCGATGATAAGATATCAGTGATCTACGTGGGCTGCTAGCTGAATAGCAGAAAGTTACAACGCCTTACTTTAAGAAAAATCAAAATGTGTATTGGTAAGAGTCTAAAGAAATTTGGTTCTAAGTGTTGGATTAGTAAAATTAACGACACTAGGCTACTGTTTAGGCTCTCGATTGCGCTCCTGCTCAAAGCGCACGAACAGTTTCTGTGCACATTAACGCGTACTCCTATTGAAAAGCTTGCTCTGTGCAACGTGCACGGTGGCCCTTCGCAGACACTAACTGTTTTATAAATGAGCCCGTACAGGACTAGCCTCATTATTAAAGTAGTGTGCCACGAAGGTCGCGCAACAATAGCAATTGTTGGGTCAGGTGGAAGATCGAAGTATTCGAATTTTCGAGTCTGGAATTGAATGTTCGGAGAGCTGCACTCTACCATCATGTTTGCCAGCAGTCTCAGTATTTCGCAAAATCGACAAAGCCGGGGCAAACCTTTTCAATAGATTACTTAGATTAATCTTATATCTGACTTATAATGAAATGCGTCAAATTAATAGTTAGAGGTCATTAGCTTGGCGTTATGTCTGCAGTACCAGAAGTATGTCAACGCCGCACCAAAATCCCGCTCTTATTTTCCCACGCGATGGATAAGCAGTTGACATTCTCGATATGGTACTGAACACCTTGAACAAAGTCACCAAAACACTTTCATACCTGCCCAGCATCATGGCCATCGGATATCTATGCTAGCGAGAAACTTTGTTTTGTTACCGTTGGCTATATCTTCACTAGTTCCGATTTGCTGAAAGAAGCCATTTCTCACAAACAATTCTCTTGAGCCACAATCGGTGCTAGAGGAATATATATAGCCCATTTCTCATTCGTTCAGTTATCTGCATAGACTGGCCGGTTGGCGAATGGCGCCAACGCATGGCGTGTATTTGACCACCTGACTCCTCCCGCCTTTGTGCACACCATACTTACGCACTTATATATGCTGTGTAACTGGGATACACGTACATTGGTATGAAGGGGTGGGTCACACAAGGTGGTGTGCCCATACAAGGGTGTGGGTACGTGGCTGATCTGCCAGTAGTTATGCATTTTAATTATGTTTTCTATATAGATAGGGGACTCTATCGATTTAGATATCGGCGGCTTCGTCTCAAATAAGACCAAGAAATACAGCTGACATTTTGGGCGAAAGAGTATATTTCCCTTGGGTTAAGTTTGTGGTTACTCTTGGAGTAAGCAGATTGCGATCTGCTACACTCAAACTTATTCTAAGTGCAGAACGAAGGTCACTGACCTTAGCTTATATTTCTCTAAGCGAGAGTGCTTCGGCAGCCCTGGTGCATACTGGGTCGCAAAAAATATCGCTATCGAAGCATGACGTCTTTTCTAGTTCGGGATAGCATCTCGAAAAGGTTTATGCGACTCGAACAGTACCCGACGTCACCATCAAGACATGTGACACAGTCGGATGGCGCGAAAGCGTACCCGCTACTGCATGAAGTCGTCTTCGTGTATACGCGTTAATTAAACGTACCCTTACTCTTTTCGGTGGAGTGTATGCTGACGATAAGCTGTGCTCAACGACACGTGATCTGTATACATCACAAACATCTTCGAACTAATCATGTTTACTTTAACTTGACCAGGACATACATCATTGCGAGAAGCTCCTATCAAGAATGTATTTCTCCTCAACCGCTTTTGGCTGGCAAGAAGAAATTCGAACACGCGTTTATGTCGATTGACTTCTGCATAGAACAAAGCAGAGCCTCTGGCAAAGAACGAAGAGCCACAAACGCCATGAAGTGTTTATCCAGTCCAAGCCACTTTCCTGAGGTCTAAAAGGGCAGAAGAACTGGCCAAATTGCAAAGATTTAAATATTCACAGGGTCAGCCTATAGGCCAAGTTTACAAATGAGGCAACTCAGATAGGAAATCTTGACGGCAACGATGCCCCTATTAATTTCGCCAAACAGCTCGTTAGAGCGCTTACACTAGATAATTGCTCACAAGAGTCTAATATAGTTTTTTACAACCGACTCCCGCGCAATACACGACTACGGACAGATTTATCGTCGAATTAGATTTGGCATGAAGCGGAATAAAGCTTTGTCTTTCAGCTGGTGCATAAAACAGCTCCTTGCTATTATCTAGCCACTCGTGGAAAAAGACTGATATATACGATTGTTTAAGCCCGAGAGCTTGTCGAAGATATTGAGACCTGCGCGATGAATTAGTTTGATATATACAAGCATCCACTAGCCACCGGATAGGAACCAACAAGAATCCGCTATCGGTAAGTACTGCAATTAGCATCCCGTACCAGTGGTTCCGCAGAGAGGCTAAACAGGTGTGGTGTGGATTGATCTTGCGTGTGATGATATTGGAAGCTTGGTGATTCTTGGACAATACGTGAAATACATGCTGGTGGAGTCGTACATTGGTGATAGTTGTCCGCAGGAAAAGTAAGAAGTGGTGACCATAGAGCTGAACAAGATCCCGTTTAGGGGACGCGGGTTAAGACCCAGAGGAATAATATCTGGCGATCAAAAGGCACCGCTATTCTACGGCTGTCACAGCAGAGCGGTGTCAATTACGTTTCCATATGAGACATTTTTTGTGATCGAAGATCAACTCAATATTTCACACCAATTCAGCTGTTAATCTTTTGAAGCACCAAGGTATAGAGCATAGCGACTATTGCCCTTCGAAGAATATTTCACATCTTGTTTAGCAAAAATGCTAAATTGCTAATCACGTTTGCTTCCTGGTGTTTTGAGAACTCCATAGTCGAAAAAGAATAAGACTCCTCTAAGACTTTAAACGCATCGTCAGGCTCATAAGTACTGCTAAACACTTGATAATGGACTATTCACCCAGCAGCAAATTCGTTTTGGTTTATCTATTTACCTCACGTCAGTTCATAAATTCATCTATCGATGTGATGGAATATTTCATCAGTTCTCAGTTCAACGCTTGTGAGGCACCATCTGAGAAATAATTGGATCTGCTGCGACTTCGTAGGAAGACTACCTACTACAGATCGTTTTAATATTGCGGTGTCGCTGCTGGTCTTGTGTTGCGTCTTGATTATAAAATTACTTTGTGTGAGCATCTATTACTTTGTGCTCACACAAAGTAATTTTGTGTAATTTTGATGTGTTCCATCTATTACTTTGTGTGAGCACAAAGTAATAGATGGAACAAATGCGCGATGCATGAAATATTGTCCTCACCTAGTACGTTATTCGCCAGTATAGCAATTAAGTAGCCATCATGAAGTACATGACTGGAATTTGTTTTCAATTTCGCTCTATTTGCGGCTGCCAGTATGCATTTCGTGATATGCCTCAGTCCCACTTTAACGGGATCGCGATGGTTACAAAGAACGGATTTGACTAATTAAGTCTTTGCAGCCAAACGCTTATAGTATTTGCTTAAAAGGTCGTCTCAAAAAGTGAGCCGAGAGTCTTTCAAGTTTTAAATGCTCGATCCGATTCGTTCAGGGAATGAGGTAACAAGCTTTAAACGTAAGTTGCTAAATGTGACAGGCACCAAATTTAGTTTTTTTATCCTCTATCGTATTACTACCGTGCTCAATGCTGTAAGGTAGTACTATGGACCTCGCCTCCTGGAGTAATGTAGCCCTGAAATCGTTCCTAGCACAGTATAATCCTAAAGTGTACCTCGTCACGTCGTAATTATGGATTTAAGTTTGCGCCGCATTATGGTGGAGCTCTTACACGGTTATTTGTGCAGACCTTCTGCTCACCCAGAGAAGGAAATGAGCGCTCGAAAGTCGCTCCGCGCGCGCTTTACAACTCATCAGGTCACCTCTTCTCCGGAGTATAGTCTACGCCTTGAGCAGCAGTGTTTTGGTTAATAATTTTTCCTTAATGAGGATCGAACATTATGTAATTAATGTTGGCAAAAGTACCATATGCATATTTTGTAATCTGTACACTGAATGACGAAGAATCGTCGATTCTTTCGTCTTACAGCTTCACAAATTAGCTTTAGTGAAGCAGACAACGAAAAAGTCATTTAATAATTGACTGTGCAAAGCACAAACATCGACTCAACACCTTGTGGTTTTGTTATCAATAGTCGTGGGTATCCCCATTATCCCAATAGTACAGCTACCGACAAGTGTCGAACTTGAAAGAAGGTTGTGCGCCAAGTATACCCTGCAACGGCGCCAGGGTAATCTCGCCGGACTGGGACCTCAAAACTGGATTAAGTAGGGATAAAGAATGTCAAGTCAAAAATTGCATGGCAAATTCTAAGCAGGTTGACGTTGTGTCACAAGTAATTTAGTCATCATGTTTAGGCGCATCAATTTAGACCAAGTTTCGATAAGCCAAAAACTGGCATGATGATTAGCTTATTAATCAAGAAATTTTGTGACTAAGGATTACGGCTTTGTGTTTTATGATCAGCAAAATTAAGGCTCTCTGTACTTTTCTGGCTATCTCTACATAATATGACATATAAGTAATGATTGAAACAGCCTCCCTGTCGGATATCAGATATTTTTTTACAACCGGTGTAATTGTACCGACGATCGATACGTAGCGATATGTCTTATGCAAGTGCGAGTGACGAGTAAGACTGCATTGCCAAAAACGAGGACGATGTTATGGCGATAACGAGCAAATGATCTGCGCTAACAAACGCATAGAGATCAGGGTTGCACTCTTCAACCAGGGGCACAGCAGAGCTGCTAACGTTACTATTTGCGTAGTCAGCTCTGCTACATCAAGAGTGCAGTAGTTCTATACAGCTTTAAATATACGCGCCTAAGTACCAATTTCAATGGAAATAAAGGTACTCTGTAAAAAATGTCCTAGGCTGTTAGTCGCTTGTCAAAAAATTAAAAAATATTTTGAATGATAGTAATATATAGTTCGCACTTTTTCCTAAAACAACAGTATTTTTCGTGCAATTGTTCAGAATTAATTTTACATATTGCATCAGTTTATGCAAACAGTTAGTACACAAGACTCAGTTTATCGCACTCGCTCCTCAAAGCATACTTGAGTGGGAGTCTTATCTCATGCACTCAAACACAAGGATCAGCGAGTCCCTACAAAGCACATTATTAGCCACTGACGCTCTGAGAATTTTTTTTGGTGGTGACTTCGAGGTGATCCGCGGTTAAGATGGTTGCATTGACTTTTTGACTCATGGCCAGATACCTACACTCTCATCCGACGACATACAGACGAGATCTACAACAAGAAGACAGAGTTTACTGGATTTAGCCCCCCCTTTGAATGAGTCTGATACTCCGTGCCTTTTCTACTGTCGTCAAACATTGCGATACCTCGCCGTAGAACTCACGACGAAATATATCTATTCACCAACGAGCCTTAGTTGGTCCCTGACGCTCAGATTGGTCAACGTAAAGCGCCAAAGTTACATCAACTATTGCTTAATCATCGGGCGGTGATCACGGTTTTAAATCGTCAGATATTCCTTGAAACGCTGTTGTGGACACCTTACCTTCCTATGTGCGCGGGCGTTCTGCACGCGCAGAGAGAAAAAGGGCGCGAGAATATCACCCGCGATCGCTGTACCACTCCATAGGCCACCACTTCTCAGATGTACTACCTACACTTATCCTCCATGAGAGGCATACTAAGGTCCTTAAACTGATCAAAGTGTCAATGATCATCGTACTCGCGCACTGGAAAGAAAATTCACCGTCGTACAAATTTAAAGTTTATCGAAAGATTCATATTTACCACAAATTCGGTCGTCGCATACTAGTGTGTGAAGCGCACTGCGATGGACGCCCTGTCCTAGTTTTCCATACTCTCTTCGAGCTCTGCAATCGCAATCCATGGCTTAAGATATCCCCAGCGACTCAAAACCGTGTCACCGCCATTATGTAGAGTATTGCGCAGCTATAGCTAATGAAGTTAACGCTGCCTTGTCTGCAATCGAGACCTGTGCATTCGATTGGCTCATAAAAACCGGAATGGAGTATGGCTTCATTGAAGGCACGTAAAACGCATCCATTTGGATTTTTAGGAATTGAAACGATATATTTTACCCGTTTTTGGTTACAACCGTGAGCGGATCGATGCAGCATAATGACTACTTAGTATTGTAAAGTACGATGACATGGCACAACCCCTCCCCAAACTTCTGAAAAACTGGTCAAAGTTTTGGGGTGAGTCGGAAGAGGCGGCCATTGAAGTTGTGAGGTAAAGTATCGTACGGCTCTTCCTAATCCAAATTGGTTAAATCTACGCAGTCTGCCTTTGCAAAAGGGCTTGCATTACTTTTAGCAGTTGCCATTGGATATGAATAAAGATCACATTTGGACCTTGTCAGCCAAAAGCTGCTAAAAAGAATCGTCTTATCCGGGACAAGGAGCTGCTTGCAATAAAGTATACCCTCATCGAATTCAGGATCCACCATCTTGGCTAATTATTTGTAATTTTCAAAGATCATGCGCGGCTGCGCAAAAATATTTAATTGCTGACCGCTTCCGTCACTGCCTATATATCGACAGATCTCGAAACACAATGCGTTGAAACTGGATTGTAGCCTTTTCAACCTGCGCATCAAAGTCGATTTCCACACGACTTAAAAATACTCATACAGAAGACTACGTCTCCTATCTAAAATTGGCTTTTTAAGCTTAAGGCGGATGCGAAATTTTTTTCGAGCGGTATTCATAATCACTCTCGCCAGTTTCAACTATTCAAAATTTCCCTCGATGTGTTACCTTAACTATTGCCCCTTTAGGGGCAGGCAGCACCTCTTAGGAGTAGTGACTCATAGGTTGAGATTGTGCTGGCGGAGCGGCTTTCTGATGATTGCTTCACTATAATATGCAAATACTGAATGGATAGGCAACTTGTAGAAAAATATTACCCCGCAACGTACCCTAGACAAGTTATGTCTGTCGCTTGCATCGACGTGTTGGTTTTGTACATCCTGGCTCTCAGGTGCTGCACTCAATCTTATCGGGTGAAATTTACTACTATGCTAAGCAGTGTAGCCGGGCTGTTATCAGTAAGTCTGTTCGGATCGACTGCCTCACCCCACAAAAGGCCAGAGTCGCCTCGTGGCAGTTTCAAAGTACCGCTGGTTTTGATTGACAAATTATATATTAATATCTGAAGCCTTGAGAGTCATTTAGTGTGGTATAAGCGCAAAATCGATAAATGGGCCTAGCCGACGCATCGCTTCCTCCGTGTGGTCGGCCAAAATCCAAGTTATACACGAAGAAGAAAAGAGATGAGATAATGCATTAAAAGACGACAATGCTCTCGAACTCGACTTTTAGAAGTGCATCAAGTGTATGTCATTCTTCACTCTTTACGATATATGCTGTTGCTTTGCGATGTGAGATACTGTGATAGAAACAAACACATATACCATGCAGATAGTCTTTCAATGCCATATTTACCCCAATTGTACTAAATAACGAGTTTTCCGTGTAGAAATTTTGCCCAAAGAGCGCGCGTTAACAAACGCACGGGGGTGGAGTACCTACGCCCAAACCCAGAGCGTAGCCAAATATTCATACTGCATCTATATGCCTAGTAACCTGTATTGAATGAACATATATTGAGAACCAATTCTAATTTGTCATAACCTAAATGTATTTCGTATGAAAAGACGATTTTTCTTTCTGTTGTGCGGCTGTCAGCTCCACGGATATCAGCTTTTTAATTCCGGTTTCATCGTAAATACCAATACCTTAGTACTTACACATATTCATCATTTTACCAAAGTAAAAATACGATCCTCGTACAGCTGTACAGTGCATTGCATAAATACAATTGTTCCCACCATTTTTTGTGGTGATACGCAAGATTATATTTCATACTCCTTCACACTCCTACGAAGATGTAAACCACACTGGAATTCACTCTTCCTTTGCCTTTAAAGATATTAGACAAAAGTGATCGCGCTTCGAGCAATGACTCCACTCAAACCTATTGCACTACCTACTCTCTACAGCATATTTACACTGAGAGCCACCTTTCGTCACTTATCAATATTGTTTAGCCCCCAAAAAAGGCGCAACAGTGACGATCAAAGCGCCTGAACATTTTATCGGAGAAGACACGGAGGCTTTCACCAATGAATAAGATTGTAGCCTTGACCACGCCTAGCCGATCTTCGAGTGAAATGCGCTCGCCGCGCCCAGCTTCCTTTTCACACGTATTGCATACTCCGTACCCGTTTCTTTTGGTGGAAGGTATTGCGAGACATGACCATGACCTCACAGTAATGTCCAGCTCGTTGGCAACGAGCTGGATCCCGCTCAAACAGCCCATATGCAAGCGCAAGAGTCACGCTGGTACCTGCCCGAATAATCACACCGTGATTCGATTTATAACGTTTCTGGGAACGTTGGTTCGGAGCATTCACACGTCTATCCGTATGCGCCTTCCAGTTCAATCAAGTGCAAACAACAAGCGATTGATTCCAAATTTTCACTTGCTCAGAGTCTGCTATACACTTAGATACACTGATTCTACGGTCTAGATTTTGCTGAGTTCGCCGATTTATTTCTTTGCGTCCACTAACTTCGTAACGTTAGCTGTATTATACAGCATTGTCGAGTCCAACGTCGCACCTAATTCTTTTAATTTTTTGCATTAGCTCCGTGCGATAACTTTTCGAAAATAGTAACCATAACACGCAACACGTTTATTTCGATGCAATTTAACTGAAAAGATTGCTGCATGTCTCCGTGGGCACAGAATTGTATAGAAACATCCGTTCTCCTCGCATTTCCACTTTACCGCCCTGTACCGGTTTATTAAAATGGTCAAGCGAGTGCCTGCTACCAGTGCTGAATTCCTGCAAGCTTCATCTGCTGCATCAACCACTACATTGCCTTTAGTGACACCAACAGGCCAGGTGCCTCCCCTGGTTAATGGACCGGCCAGTGTCTCAGCTGTCTGGTCATACTTTGAGAAGGACCAGTCAGGCAACTCAATCTGCAAGTTTTGCGAGCGGGTGATTAAGGGCCACCACTCATCTAATCTGCTCTCGCACTTGCGTACGGCTGGTCGGACGGATCCCACCCACCAACAAGCAAATAATATATGCGAGGAGCACCGGGAGACCAAACGTCACATTAAGCGCCAGAAGATGGGGTTGCAGGCCGTAGCAGCTGGCCACACGGGTGCTGAGTTCGTTGCGGCGGCCATGTATCCGCCACACCTGTCTTCTCAATCCGTAGCCGCTGCCATGGCCTCAGCTGGCGGATCCCCGGGTGTCTAT